TTCCCCCTAAATGATGAATAGTTACTAAGCTTCGAAGCGTTCTTGTTAAAAAAAAAAAAAAAAAAAAAAAATTATAAATTTTTATGCAATAATAATTTTTTTTTTTTTCTTTTGCCAATTCGCAAATGTTATGAGAAAAAAAAGAAAGAAAAATTTATGGTTTTGTTTAAATTTAAATTTAATTTTTCACTACGTTAATGATGATTAACGCACGTGACAAATCGAAAATGATAATAATAATAATTTACTCTCATTAATTAATTAATTTTTATTGGTGCTTTTTGGGGTTTTCCAAAAAAAAAAAAAAAATTTCAATTTAAATATAATAATTTTTTTTTTTTTGCGTATTTAATAAATACGTAAAAATTATTATTATTATTGTTTGTTACGTTTACGTTTTAGGTTTGAGAATATTTTCTGGTTGAGAAATTTAAGCGATCATTAAATAGTAATTTTTTTTTTTTTGTGAAACGTCACTTTTTTGTCTGTCTTTTTCTATTAAAGAAAGAAGTTTTTTTATGCGTGAGACATTATTAACTAGAATGCCATGATGCATCCGTTAATTTTTGTTTATGACAGGGAAAAGGAAAAAAGGAAAAAGAAAAGTACAACTATCTGTTGGTGAAACACAAAGTTTGAAAATTTCCAGTTGATTTTAAATCTTGTGTTTGTTGTTGTTGTCGTTGTTGAAAATTCATTAGGGATTTACATTTTATGCTTTTAGCGAGTGTGCTTGTTGTTAATTTTTTTTTTTTTTTAATAAATTTTAGCAAGTTTTTTTTTATATTTGTTATAATTAGTTTTTACCTTTTATTTCGTCTGATACATTAGTTTTCTTTCTCTCTCTCTCTCTCTTCTACCTTGCATTAATTTAATGGACGGTTAATTTAATTTTCTAAATTCTATATTAATAACCCTTGGCATCGGCTTGAAGGAAAAAAAAATATATATATAAAAAAACAAAATGGAAGGAAAATAGACGAAAGTGATGATGATTTATATATATGAAAGTATTATTCAAAGTATAAGATTTCTTTTTTTTTTTTTTTTTTTTTCAATAAACAAAATTAAATTAAAAGGAATTCAATGTTGATTTTTATAACTTTTATTCAAGTATATCCCTTAAGGGATATATTAATAATAAGTTTCTTTACACAAATAAATGCCGTAATTATCACGAATGAATTGGGGGGATTCAGAGAAGAAAAAAAAAATGTGGCGAAGTATTTTTAAACCTGACTTGAATACGTTTCGAGGGATTTATGATTATTTTTTTTCTTTTTTCTTTTTTAAATTTGTTTCATATGGAACACGTTTCGTTAGGAAAAGCTAAATAAATAAAGAGAATTCATTCATCACTTTGACAGATTAGAGTAAAGAAGAAGAAAAGTAAAGTTTCCATTTCTGTGATTTTTTTTTTTTTTGTTTAACATTTAATTAATTCTTAATTGCGCAATGGAGTGGTGTTGAATGAATAATTAAAGTTAAGAACATCATCATAAGAAAAAGAAATTTTTCACTCGTTTGTAAAAAAAAAAAAAAAAAAAAAAAAACAAGTTTTACGAATCAATATTCGCACTTTACCTTAAATATTTTATATTTATTCGATAACGTGTAAATTGCGGGGGTTAAAGGAGACAAAAAATTATAGAATTCATATCAATGGATACTTTTATTTAAAATAAGGGATAAACGATAATTAATTATGAATTCATCGATTGCGAAAGTAAAAAAAACGATTTTCGATTTCATTCGGTTATGAATACGCCGCCATTTTACTCTTCGAAATGTGGTAAAAGAAAAAAGAAAGAATGAAAGAAAGTTATCATTTTTTAGTCGTAATAGGATAACTTTTTTGTAATTAACACCCAATAATCGAAGGAAATTAGCAAAAATGAAAAAAATTTTAAACTAATAATATTTAATTTAATTTTTTTTTTTTATTAAAAATTAAATAAATAAAACTTGAGGTTTTTTCTTTAAGGCTGACGATAAGATAAAAACAGCGGCACACGTGCCTAAAGGCATATAGGTATAATATTTCCAGTTTAAAATCCGTGCCTTTGTCTCGCAAAGACCGAAAAAATAATAATAATAAATGTTAGGATTGACATCGATTGGACGATCAATATCTTTTTTTTATTTATTTTAATTTTTATATAAATTTATTTACGTTTCTGTAGAAAGGAATCACGATTACTTTGACGCAAAGTAAAAATACGAAATGACACAAACATGAAAAAAAAAGATCTAGCACACTCTAGAACATTCTAGCACTAGCATAAGAGGGTAAATGAGAATGTGCATGCACGTCGTCAAATCGATCATTATTATTTGTGACCCACAAAAAAAAAAAAAAAAAATTATAGTAACAACTAGAATTTGCAAAAGAAAAATTTATGGATTTCATCGTAATATCAAAAACGATGTTGATCTAGAAATGGAAAATATTTTTTCGATTCTAAACTCTTCGTTGTCTTTCTCATAAATGTAGGAATGCAATTAAAAAAATTTGGCAGGTTTTGTTCGTTATGTTAATTTTATTTTAATAAATAAAAATAAATACGAGTGAAAAAGTTTATAAAAAATTACATAAAATATTTTTTTGTTTCACGTCGCGGTTAACAAAATAATTAATTCTTTTGTAAAAAAAAAAAAAAAATAAATAAATATTGTTTCGTAGGTGTGAGAAAAATAAAACGTTCGAAGTGTAAAAAATGTATTTAATTTAAAAAAAAAAGATTTATCTAGTGTTAGGATTTTCACTTCTTTTTTTTTTTACGTAAATTTTGACGTGTTGTATGGAGTACGAAATGATTAGGTAAAAAAAAAAATAAATAAATAAATAATTATAATAATTTTTAATTCAGTTTCGAAATGATTTTACGATCGAAAAATTTTTTTTTATCGTAATGAGGAAGTTGGTAAATTTAATTGTAAAACGTGAATTTTCATTTTTTTTATTTTTATAGAAACGAATGTTTCACTTCCGTTTGTTCGATTAAAAAAAAATAAAATATTGTACACGATTTTATTTTATTTTATTTTTATAAGAAACAAAAAAAAAAACCGGAAGGATGTGCATTACACGTATGAAACAGATGCGTTCACAGATTGTTATACTATATTTAAAAAAAAAAAAAAAAAAAATTTAAACAGCTGCCAGTGCTGCTGATTTCCTTTCTTTTTTAAATAAAAAAAGGAAAAAAGGGTTGAATGAATATGAATGGAAGAACACGAGATCGTTTTCGAAAAATTTAAACGTGTAATGTAACCACACAAAACTCTAATATATGTAACTAATTAAATTTTCGATTCTTTTTCCGTTCCGGAAACGGAAACGTAGAATTTTTTTCTATTCTAATGAAAGTAATTGGCGTAACGTGGAAGGGATTCATTAAAAGTTATGAAGTAAGAAGAAAAAAAAAAAAGTTTATACATATATATGTACGTAAACTTGGAATATACAAATATTAAATATGACCCAGTTTGTTAACCGTGAGATTTTTTTTCTTTTAAACGCACCAAAAACGTGACCGGTACATGAAATTCAAGGTTTCTTTTTCTCTTTCTTAATACTACACGGTCCACACAATATATGTTTAGAATCGTCGTCCATTGTGAATACAGACAAAGATATGTCAGAAGTATTAAATGCGTGTACAATGAATACTTTGCTTTAAAAAAAAAAAATTTAGAAAATTTAAATGGACATTATTTTTTTCGTATAAAGGTGTTGTATCACAAGAGAAAATTAAATTTTAATCAAATTAAAAGTAAGTTTGTTTGTTAATAACGGTTTTAGAGGCAAGTGTTTGTGTTGCTTGTGTTCGTGTGTATGTACTTATATATATTTTTTATTCTTTCCATTTTATCTATGGTGGCCATACATCATCATCAAACTTTGTTCTTCACGGTTAATTATCGAAAATTTTTTAATATAAAAAAAAAAATTAAAAAAAAAAAAAAACATGGAAAAATTTCCCTCGAGTTATTTTTATTATTACTTAAACTATTTTTTTTCAGCTGCACCAAGTTTTGTTTTTTTTTTTTTGTAAAGTAAAAAATTTAAAGTAATCAGAATCATCTCTTCTCCATTGTGTTTGAATTCGTATGTGTATATGTATTTTTTCTCCCGTTTGTGGAATCGTAACGGTTTTTTTTTTTGGTTTCTTACGGATCAGTTAGATTTTGAAAGATGGATGTTGCTTTTGTTGATTGAACTAAAGTCTGAGACACTCATTCGTGTCTCACGAATTTAAGCAATTGTTCCAATTAATTCGAAAGATTAATCGGTTCAGGTTAATATAATGAAATTATTGGTTGACAAGGTTATGATGGAATTAAAGTGTGCAATTAACCCACTTGTGTATGATCTTACATTTAATTGCTATTAAATTATGTTTCAAGCGACGCGACAAACCAAAAGTTTGCACAAAAAAATAAATTTTCCGATCGAGGAGAAACTTGGAAAAAAAAGTCTTAACCAAGTCTAATCGTAAAATAATTGAGTGTGAAATAAAAAGTTTAAAGAATTGCATTCAAAAAAAAAAACAAAAACAAAAGAAAATTTCATTTTATCTTATTTTTCTTTAGTTTTTTTTTTTTTTTTTTAGTTTTTATTGCCTAAATAAAAAATTGTATTAGTCATTTGGTTGGTTGCCCTTTAACTCGGTTGTTAGATTTCACAAAAAAAAACGTTTTTGACGGGGAAAAAAAGAGAGAAAATCATCTTAAAAATAAAATGGAAGTAATCATTTTATTGTTATTATTATTTTTTTAAAACAAAAATTTATCAGACAACAAAAGTTTAAAATAATAATTTTGTGTTCATTTGCCGGGAAATTACTTTACTCCGTGAAATTCATATGTTTCTCGAGACCTTTAATCTTTTACTTAGCCCAAAGAAGGGTCATCATTTTCTTATTATTACACTTCCCTCTTCCCGCCTTTTTTTTTTTTTTTTTTTTTTTTTTTTAAGAAAGAAGGAAAAGAAAAAAATGTTTGCTACGAAAGGTCACCTGAATTGTTTTTTTATTTAAAGATCACATAAATTTTTTTTTTTTTTTTTTTTAGTCTTTTTGATTATGCCTTTAAAATTTTTTTTTTTTTTTTTGGAACTAAATTTGTTTTTTTTTTTTTCGTTTTTTAGATTGCTCTAAAAGTCTGGAGTCGTGCCTTCGTTGTGACGAAACAGGTTTTAAGTGCCTGAAGTGCAAACATTTGATCGTTTTTGAAACAAGAAATTGTGTCAAAAGCTGTCCGATGGGATACACGAGTCAGTGGTCCACATACGATGATTACATGGGTCAAATTTGCGTCGAAACATCATTTGCTGCAAGTTTAGGATTTACCGGGGAAACGTCAGCTGTTTTAGTCGGATCACTTACCGGTAGGCTAAAAGAAATAAAATAAAATTTGTACGATTTTTATTACTGCACATCAAGCAGACGATCGAAATCGATTAAAAATAAAATAATTTAACTTTTACAGGGTTGATACTTTGTCTGGGAGCTTTGTTGGGAGGATGCATTTACATACGAAGAAGAAGAATCAAAGCTTTGGCCACGATGGATGAAAATTCAGATTCGACGATGATAATGACTCCTCTCCATCAACAAGGTGCAAATTACAAAAAAAAAATAAATAAATAAAACAAAAGAATCGATTTAAAAAATAAATGGGAGAGAGAGCTGCCTTTTGTAATTTTTTCCATTTTTTAAACAAAATCTTGGGAAAAGATTTCATTGGTTAGGGAGACGGAGAGAGAGAGAGGAAGAAAAAAAAGTGTGAATGTAAAAAATTTTGTTATTTATAACAACTAGAGAAACTAATAATAGTAAACAGAGATTTAGGAGTTGTTGCCCCTTACAAAAACCTCACGGATTTGGTTTGGTTGTTGTTGAGATTAAAAAACTTAATTTTTGGTTATTTCTCTACTATAAACGAAGCTTATCAGTGATTATTTTTTTTATTTACGTCTTGGGGGTCATTAGTTTTTCTCTTGTTTTGTTTAATCTTGGAAAATGCTGATTTGACAGGACGTTAATTATGAATTAATATTTATTTACATTGATAACATTACAAAAAAAAAATAATTTTTTTTTTTAAAAAAGAAATGACATAAAGCTGTTTTCTGCTGTCGGTTTTTTAAATGAATTTTATTTTATTCGTAAATGACAACGGAGCAGATAGCGTATAATAATAATAATTAAAATTTTTATGTATTTTTTTTTTTTTAGAAAGAGGAGAATTTCTTCGTGAAATTTCACTTTTGCGTCACGAGGCTCCAGTTTTTTTATCAATGTTGAACGAAACGAGACGACAAGTTCGAGAAATAGCAAGGACGAAATTGACCAACAACAAACGAGATTCGGCGAGTCAGGCATACAGACCAGTACTTAGGGACTTGTACGTGATACTAATTCTTTTGAACAAGCCCGAAGAGAAAATAACGAATCCGCCCCAAGACTGGAGAAAGTTAATTTCGTGGGGAGAAAGAGTTTTAAAGCGGTACAAGCGACAGCATAATTTAGACGCGCCCGTCGGTCAATTAGTCACGTTTTTAGATGTACCTGAACAACAGCACCAGAACGGAAGTCGAGTTTCACTTTTTCAACCCTATTGCACGTTGAGCACGGTGAGCACGAACACGTTGACATCCACGGTCAGTCGAAAATTGAAAAACGCGTTGAATTCGAAAAGCGACGGAGGGGTAAAAGAAGAGCCTAAGGAAACGTCGCTTTTAAAAGAGAATTTGAACGGTTCGAATGGAACAACGTATCCGTTACCCGGAGACGATATAAGTTTTAGCAATTTGAACAGGTTTTCGTACAGGGAAAATAATTTCGATAATTGGGACGAAGATCACACAATATTAGCAGAATGGTCAGCTAGTCAAGAATATTCATTCGAAGATGATTTCATTAGGCTGGGATTTAGGCCTCAGGATGAAATAACCACAGAACTGTGATATTTATTTATAATAATAATAATAAAATATTAATTCAAAATTAATGAAATTGCGTTTAAATGAGTTTTTCAAAAGAGAGAGAAAGAGAGAGAGAGAGAAAAAGTTATAAAAAATATATATTTTTGTATCAGATTAAGTTGTTCGTGCTAGTTATATTTAAATGCTTATTTTCATAAAAATATATATGAGCATAAAAAAAAAAAAAAATTTCAAGACTTGGTTCTAATAACACGTATTATTATTATTATTATTATTATTATTATTATTATTATTATTATTATTATTATTATTATTATTGTTATTTTCAATACAAAAGAAATTTCAACTTGAATTTAAAAAAAAAAAACAGAGATCAATTATCATTTTGTTTTTTTTTTTTTATTAAACGTAAAATTAATTTTAAACGGTTGCCAATAATGTAATACATAACACATACTCGAACGCATTAAAAATAATTGTAAAAAAAAAATAATGTATGATGTTCAGTATTATGCATGTTAATTAATAATAATAATATTAAAAAAAAAAGTGTAATTGAATGTAATTTAATTTTTTTTACAACGATGATGAATAGTTGATGTGTGTCTTATTACATCCCCTAACGTATATTATTATTATTAGTTCCTTAGTGAGAAGGTAGTCAAATATACTTTTGTGTTGAATTGTTCGTTTTGTACTTTTTTTCCAAAAAAAAAAATTGTAAATAATTGAAAAAAAATTAAAAAAATAAAAAAATTTGTATTTTTTATTATGATTTTATTACCTTTTGATGTTTTCATTATGAAAAGTGTGAGGAATGATTGGATTACAATAAAATAAAGAGAAAGTTTATTTTATTTTTTTTTTTGGGGGGGAATTATATTTTTTAAAAATAGGATGAAATGTTTGTTTTTGAAAAGGTTCTAAAAGTTTATAACGAAAAATTATTTTATTTTTATCGAATAAAATAATCGTGAACGAATTAGATTTGAATTTTAAGGTTTTTCTTTAAATGGTAATTATTAGAAAATAATTACATTATACAGCAAACAAACAAGAAAATTGAATATTTTTGAGTAAAATAATTTTAAATATAAATAACATGAGTAAATTTTTGTCTTTTTTTGCCCCGGATTTTATTTTTTGAAAATTTTTTACATTTTAAAGAAAATGAATTTTGTAATGCAATAAACAGTAAACAGTAGCAGCTGTCAGATCAGCATAAAAATTTCTAATTAAAAGCGTCATGTAACAAACAAACAAACAAAAAAAATTTTTTTTTTTTTTTTCTCTTTTGGAAATCTACTTTTATAAGCATATTAACCAAAATCGGTTATAAAAATATTAATTTTTGATTCAAATAAATTTTTATAATTTGGATAAACGTAAAATTAAAAAAAAAAAAAAAAAAAGAAAAAAAAAAGCCGCGCTATGATTTTTTTTTTTATTGCTTTATCCACAATAAAAAATGGCGGTGACAATAAACAAATTTTTTTAAAGTGGTCGTACCATTTTGTAATATCCAGTTTTAAAATAGCATTCAGAATGCCAAATAAACGTGTTAAAACTTATTTGCGAATATACATATTTTATTTTTTGTTTTTTTTTTTAAAAAAAAAACTTGTATATTAATTTTATTTATTAAAAATTATATTTATATACATGAATAAAATTTCATATTAAACATGGAGAAATATGAAATAATACGATGTGGTTAATAACTTAGATGAAAAACATAGTTACATAAGTTAAACATGTTTTAGTGAAAATGCAAAACGGAGCGCCATTTTGAGTTTTGTAGAGAAATGTTCGCTCTTTCGTGATGATGTTTATTACTTATCATAAAATATTGATAAGTATCGGGAAATCATATTTAATTATAATTAAAAGTGTTTTATAGTTATTAGTTTAATAATTATAAATAATATTCAACATTTCTCGCTCGGAAATAAACGAAAAAGTATTATGTGAAAAATTTTTTTACTCTGGCTTCAGTTTTTTTTTTTTTTTTTTTTTTTTTTTTTTTTTTTAAGTGTTTACTAATGGCAACGATATAAAATATACCCTCTTTTTTATATTACCATTTGTGCACTTTTTAAAATCTGGTAGGTGAATTTTTTTTTTATATAAAAAAATTCTTTATAATAAATACTTTATATAATTTAACTTATTTTATTACAAAGAGAGATTTACATTTTGACACGAAACGGCCTTGGGAAATGCGTCTACTCAAAGCCCTTTGTCAAAGTGAAATTGATTGCATGAAGCATTTTTATGTTAAATTATTTATTTTTAAATAAATGTTCTTTTGGAGCTTTTCTAAATATATTTGTTTGCTTGATTTTGATTTAACTTTTTTTTTTTTTTTTCTCTCTATTTTATTAATTATCTATACGGTAGAAATTTTCTAATCAATTTTTTTATATATGGCCTTATTTTGGTTTAAGGGTGAGTAAATACTTTCAATGAGGAACAAATGATTTTGTATATATAGTCTGTGCTCTAAATGTTTCTCATTTAACGTCATAGTATATTTTTTACACACTTTATTTATTTAATAAAATTATGATTTTATTCAAATATATATATATATATTATATGTAAATAATATAATTGAAGGGATTTGTAAATTTATTTTATGTGTTTAATCGTTTATAAGCAAAAATTTAATGCTAAATATTTTTAAAACATTCGATACATACAGAAATACAATTATGCCACCTAACTAATTTATTTAAACATTTCCAATTATTTAAATAATTTATTTAGTTATTGAAATATCTTACTCGATGGAATTAGGTGTGGTTTTATAAAAGCATTCCTGTTGTATTTACTTTTGAAGCATGTCATGCTTACTGTATTGTAATTGGCTTTAATTATTAAAAATAAAAATAAAAGAGTTAATAAAATAATAGTTGCAAGGAAATTTGAAATTTTATTTGAAAAAAATATAAGTTTGTATTTTTATTTAAGCCTCATAACGTAGCTTACCAACCTATTTTCCTATTTCTACAAATCTCGTTTTAAAGTTTGAAGAAATTTCTGAACATATTCAAGCGTTTTCCATTAATTACAATTTAGTGTTTTTCGATTAATAACTTTTAAAAATATTTTTTTCTATTTATCACATCTGTAGTCCTTTGGGTTTTTTCGCAATGTCTTCTCATGTACTTCAAGTGCACAACTTCTAAATGTAATGAACACCAATCCAAAACCTAATAATATTGCTAAACTGGGAAGATCATTGCAGAATGATCTGTATAATGAGTTTGCAAACCCTTTCCATGGTTTTAACTCGTAAGGTGATATCATATAATAGTTTATACCGTAAAGTCTTTGCAAATTGCCAAATATTTTACCCATATCATAAAAAAGAGAATTAAAAGTCTAATTTTATTTTTATTTAAAGTGGAAATTTAGCTTTTTTTTTTTTCAATTATTATGATTTCATTATTTATGTATTGGCAATCCTGTTCGATTTCTTTTATTTTATAATTTTTAAACATTTAATTTCTTTCGAGAATGTGATGCTGCATAGTACTTTTTTTTTGTTACCTACATCTTACTATGTTAATTTTTAAAATTAACATTGAGTTTTCTCTTATCTTTTTTCAGTGAATTAATAGATGCACATCTTGGTTACTTTTTTAAATTAAAAATGACAATGAAAACAACAGAAAGTGCTAGAGAATGAATAGCGAGCAAGCTACGGCCATGTCAGTATCTGTATCAAGTGCCTCAACATGTTCAGGAACTGAGGTACTTTTTTTTTGTCCTAAAAAACCTTGCAATTTGCCTTTTTTTAATATCATTCCCAATCTTTCTTCTAATATTTTTTTAAGCTGTTTTTAAAAAGCTACAAATCAGGCTAATAAAATAAAAGTGCAAATCAATGAAGGAAAGTTATTTATTTTAACAGGAAAGTAATATAGTTTTACAAAGACCATCTGGATCTGCTGCTGCTGCGGCGGCTGCAGCTGCTGCCGACCTTCGCGTTGGTACTGTAGCTTTATCTAATGTAGCAAAATATTGGGTGTTGACAAACCTCTTTCCGGGTCCAATACCTCAAGCGGTGTATCTTAATCATCCTCCAGGTCGCGTGGGGGATATAAAACAAGAAATTGATCTTAGTCAACAAGTTGTACCTACAACCATGGAAGGCATGACATTGCTTCACCAATCTACTCATTCCCAAGCACAGGTGACGCTTAAATTATTTTTGTCACTTTCTGCTGCCCAAACTATTAAACACCGAAATAAAAATACACATAGTCCGTTCGTTGCTAAGTTTTTGCCAAAAGTAGGCCCTTTTCTATGGTGGTGTATGTTATATTTCTGCAGATCCCAGTGAGTGCGGTTCAAGCTTCTATTGCATCTAATGGTGTAGGAACTTTACCTCTTCCATCTGTATCTTCTTCTTCGCATATGGAAGTCAGTTTACAAGGCCAGCAGTCTAATCAATCTGAAAAAGAAACAAAATTGGACAGAGGGACTTGCGTGACAGAAAGAGTCAGTGACAATCAGGTGAAGAATTTTACCTAATTTTCATTCCGTATAGTTAAAATTTCAATTGGAAAAAATTCATTTTTATTGGTTTAGAAGAGAATATTTAGACGATTTAAAACAGAATGCACAATTTTTATAAAATAAAAATTAGTTTATTATTTTAAACTACCTATTACATAAAGTAAGACATTTTAGTTATTTTTCAACTTTTTTTCTATGTTCCTTGCGTGATTTTCAATGAATTCTAAATGAGGAGATATTTAATTTAAAAGTGAAATAAATATAAAATAAACCTTTTAAAAGTAATTAGTATGATAGACTGCTTACATGGCATTGTAAAAAGTTAATAAAAATCAAAAATTTTATTGAATATTTCTTGTGTGTAAATTTGTAGTTTATTATTTGCAAACTAATTAACTATGACTTCTTTTAAAAAACTGTAAGCGTTGTAGTTAGAATTAAAAAATGGCAGGGGGAAAAGTAAGCGTGTGATTGAGAACACAAAATTCTGCTTTTACTAAAGCAAAATGTTCAAGAGGGAAAATGACTGCAGGTTAATCAATAATTTTTAAACATTTAGGTTCACTGTCAAGTTCAGTGTGATATACCAAACGTAAGCGGTGTTCAAATTCAACAAGGAAATCAACAAGGCCATCAATCCAATCAACAAAATACTACAATGTCTCAATCTCAAGGGCAAAGTCAACAAGTTCAGCAGCAAATAAATATTCATCAACCTCAGCCCTCATCTTCTCAACATCAATCTCAGTCTTCTGGGCAACAATCTCAACAACAACAACAGTCACAACAACAACAGCAACAACCACAACAACAACAACCACAACAGCCACAACCCTCATCTCAGTCAGGGCAACCTCAGCAACAAGTAATCTTTGGTTTATCTAAATTGTTACGTTTTTTTTTTTTTTGTTGAGAAATCAATCAGAATAAAAAAAAAATGCATTGAAAATCCGTTAGGTTTCTTCTCATCATTCGGTGGAGTCCAGTGGCAACAGTAGCAGTCATATAGAAGAAAATATAAATTGTCCAGATATAAAACTTTCTGGTCAAATGATTTCGACACAAGATATAAAAGATGAAAACAAAGAAATGGCATGCAACGTAAAAGATAATCGTTTAATTATGACCGGGTATATAATTAAAAAAAAATAAAGAGAAATTCAGTTCAAGTTTATTAAAAAAAAAAAAAAACATACAAAATGAAAACATTTTTTTTTATTTCTTTAGTTTTCCCATGCAAGATGTAAAAGGGCACATGATGGATATTAGAACTGCTGATGGAGTAGTTAAAATAACTGCAGATCAAGATGTTGCAAAAACATTACTTAATGCTGATATGGTGCAGAGCATGTACAAGGTGTGAAGCCCTTAGAAGCATTACTCCCGATTTTAATTGCTCTTTTTTACTTTTCTCATTCATTTGATTTCTAAATTTTTTTTTTACTCAAAACTTTCTGTAGGTGAATGTCGAAGATATCAATCAACTTTTGGCATATCATGAAGTATTTGGTAAATTATCGACTGATCCTTTGGTTCCTGTACAACAAAATGGTAACAAGGTACAGGAGAATAGTGGAACAGTCACTGCCGCTCCAAGCAGTCCAACATCTGTGGGACCTTATTCGTGTGATATCTGCTGCAAAATATTTCCTTTTCGCTATCAGTTAATTGTTCATCGAAGATATCACGCAGAAAGAAAACCTTTCACTTGTCAGGTAAAATTTTCAATTTTTTTTTTTTTTTGTAAGGGATTTTTTTCTTTCTTATATAATTAGAAAAAGGATATAGAAATTCGTTCAATTATTTCATTTTTAAAAATGGCAAACCATCAGAGTTTATAAAAAATATAATTTTACACACGTGGCAGTACTTCTTCTTAAAAATCCAATTTAATTTTATAAAATAGGTTTGCGGGAAGGCTTTTACATGCTCTGCCGAACTAACTCGTCATGGCAAGTGCCATCTAGGAGGCAGCATGTTTACTTGTTCCGTTTGTTTTCACGTGTTTGCGAACGCTCCATCCCTTGAAAGGCATATGAAGCGTCACGCAACCGATAAACCTTACGTGTGCACAACATGCACGAAAAGTTTTGCTAGAAAAGAACATTTAGATAACCATATAAGATGTCATACAGGCGAGACACCCTATCGGTGAGTGTACAGATAAAGAAAATAAGAAAAAAAAACCGTTCTTCAAACGATTTCTCCTCGAAAAATATCTTGAGAAAAATTGCGAATTTAGTTGAAAGCCAGTTGAAATCCTAATTTAATTTTTAGGTGTCAATACTGCAATAAAACCTTTACGCGTAAGGAGCATATGGTTAATCACGTTCGAAAGCATACAGGGGAAACTCCCCATCGTTGTGATATATGTAAGAAGAGTTTTACGAGAAAAGAACATTTTATGAATCACGTTATGTGGCACACTGGCGAAACTCCTCATACGTGCCACGTAAGTTTCAAATTCTAATCGGAACTCGGAATAATTATATATATATATATTTTATGATTTGGATATTATTCCGATATATTTTTAATTTCGCCTTCTTAAAAAAAAAATCTCATACGGAATTTAAAAATCTTACGAATCGTAAAATATGCTTGCCTCCTAAGATGGTTGATATGACGTAGTTCGATGAAAAAAAAAAAAAGCACTTTAAGTTATTAAAATATTTAATTATTTTTATTTGCCATTTTAGGTTTGCGGAAAAAAATATACGCGAAAGGAGCATTTAGCTAATCACATGCGTTCACACACGAATGACACTCCTTTTCGTTGTGAAATTTGCGGGAAAGCTTTTACAAGAAAGGAACATTTTACAAATCACATTATGTGGCACACAGGAGAAACTCCCCATAGATGCGATTTTTGTTCGAAAACTTTCACGCGAAAAGAGCATTTATTAAACCACGTTCGTCAACATACTGGTGAATCTCCGCATAGATGCGGGTGCGTACCACCATACTTTTTTGTTTAAGTTTTCGAGACGCGAAAACAAAAAAAAAAAAAATTATTTTTAAGCATTTGTTTTTATTATTACTAAATTCAGGTATTGCAGCAAGTCTTTTACAAGAAAAGAACATCTCATTAATCACGTGAGACAACATACGGGTGAGACTCCATTTCGATGCGAATACTGCCCAAAAGCATTTACTAGAAAGGATCACTTAGTTAATCACGTCAGACAACACACAGGTAATCCATTAAAAATTTAGTAGAATATTTAAATTCTTGCATTTTCCATTGAAAAAAAAAAAAAAAAAAAAGAAAAACGTTGGCATTTCCATTTTTGTTTTCTAATAATCGAGAAAGCGCTATAATTTTTATTTTTAAAGCAAATGGCATTCTGTTATTTTTCTTCTTCTTTTTTTTCTTTTTTTAAAAATTTATTAGAAATTTGTTACTTGTATAATCTTTTGCTTTAGTTAGGCTTTTTAATTTCAATTTAGTAATTGAATTACTTACGTATACATAATTTTTTTTAGAAGGCAATGTACGGGTGCCCATCTTTTATTTGATTATTTTTATTTCATTTTGCTTGAAATTTTTTTTTTTTTTTTTTTTTATTAGTAATTTATACTTTTAATTATTTAAATTACCGTCCTGTAATTAATTGTCTTTTTTTGCAAATATTTAAATAATAAATGCCGATTATTATAATTTTTAACCTTCGAACAGTCTGTCTAAATTTTGTATTTGTTTAGTACTTTTTTTTTTTTT